CTGCTTTAGACCGACTTCAGTGTTCATGTGGTGTAGCTTTGTTTACACATATAACAAGTGAATCTACGAGAAAATGTTTTAGAAGCATATCCTATATATGATCTTAAAATTATTTTTATAATATACAGTCACTTATAGGAAAAGTGAATTTTACAAATTAGTTTTATATACAGGATTTGATTGTGTTTAGGTTTCAATATTGATTACGAAATTAAAAAATTAAAAAATATATATATCAGAGTTAATGAATCGTACATATGTTTGATTATCTGTAAGGTTTACACACGTATGGATTATATATTTTCTATCTAGATTTTTGTAGCTTAGACGCATTTAATTAAAATAATAAAAATTAAAGTTATTGTTTTTAGACATTCATATACCTGTTATTAAAATTCTTTCATTAAATATTACTTGTTTATTTGACGATAACATTTGAGATTTCATTATTGGTGGGTCTCTTTAACGCTGTTCAGAAATAAAACTTAGCTGTATACAACCGCTTTCTCAGATCAATGATTAAAATGATTTGGAGCGAATAAAGCCTGCAGACCATAGCGGGGAACATGTTCGTGTACTTTCTCGAGAGGCTCACAAATTGCCAAATAACAGAAGCCACATCACTTTAGAAAGTTGTTGTGGAGTTATTTCGCAATGGAGGCTTGTATTTGTACTAAATCGGTCCTAAATAGTTTCACCACAACACCCACCTCCTAAAACTTTACTCCGTAGGAATAAAACAGTTTTCTTTATTTTTTTTTTCAGGAAATATGAAGAAAAAAACAAAAAAAACTCATTTTTTTAGAAACATCGTAGCGTATCTCCTACGTTTTGGATCCACTTTTAAATGATCAGTTGCCTTTCTTTTTCTCCTGGATCGGCGTACCTCAGGTAAAATCGTTGCAGGCGTTGTTAGATCAAACGTATCGAAAATCACCTCTATCGGCGTTTCTTCCGCGGGACCGCTGTCAACCATGTCTGAAGAGCGTCGTCTGATCTGGTTAATGTGCCGTCTGCACGTGAATTTTTCGCCTTTCACCAAGTATATCATATTGCCAATCCGCTTTTCTATTTTTTGGTGACTCCATATTAGTGCGAATCCTCGTCGCCAACGTTGTTGTGGCGAGCGAATTTTTTCTTCCTCCGTATGAGTGCGAACCCCTCGTCGCCAAAGTTGTTGTGGAGTTATTTCGCAGTGGAGGCTTGTATTTTTACTAAATCGGCCCTAAATAGTTCGACGTACAAAACATTAGGAACTTGATATAATTGGTATTACGCAGAGTAATCTTGTTGTGGTCGCTGACTACTTTCGTATTCGACTAACTGTCGTCCGACATCGACTGACCCTCATTTCTCTTACTACTCCTACTTATATTAGGTGGGAGAGTCTATTAACTATAGAATAGGTGTGTTTCACCATAAAAAAAACTTTCAACAAAAGTAACAACTATAATGGATGTCAAATGTATCTCAAAGGGAAACTACTGATGTTTTATTGCTTCAAATAAAATGTTAGGAAGGAAGCAGACATCAACACTGGAGACAACAATAAAAATCAGGGGACTTGAGGAAATTATTTTCCAGAAAAATTGTTTTGATGGAAGCTTCCATAAATTCCAGTTGACAGTAGCACTGGTTGCTTGGCTAATAAATCCTGGCTGTTTTCTAATAAGTAAAAGATAAATATTACATTCTCTTCATTATCGAAACATGTTTTGGATAAAAATTTGACTCTTTTAATTAAAGTTCTTGATAATGGTTATTTAATATCGATAGTGGTATTCACCTTTGCTATTAAGAAAACAATAGTTAGAATATGCGAGTAAGTGGTTTTAAATAGCAGAAAGTGTAGACATTTATAAAGTATTTGAATGCCAATCATGGCATCCATATGAGAGTCCTGATTTTAAAGCATGATTCCATTTCTTAGGTTAATGTTTTGGTTTTGAAGCAATTTGAGGTGTTGTGTGACTCTACACCTATCGCAGCCTGTTCTATGTTCAGTTTTCTTCTCCCTTATATTAAATTAGGTTATAATTGATTCAGATATCGAGGAAGAGCAACACGAAGATTCGACAGAAGACTTGAGTGATGGACACAATCGAGACTATCAAGAAGAACAAACATAGGAGGTTCTGATCATGTCTCCCATCTCAGAGACAACAGATGGACTATTAGAGAGACAGAGTGAACACCAAAGCAGTGTAAAATAAATAGATGGCGGCCAAAGGTGACTATTAGACTCGATACCTCGGCCCCACACATAGCCCAATATGGTTACATATAGGGAGTGGTGGAGGTCAACCAGGGAGGGTTTCCTCATGCTGGAGTGAGAAGGCTCTGGATTTTTATTTGGAAATCTAGGTATTTGAATTGTTTAGTATTTATTAATTCCATATTCTCAATTCATATAATGGATTCAGGGTAAGTGCCATCAAAGTTTTCATTTCAATTCCAGACTATAGCTTCCCTTTTCGAAAGGTTTATCTTAAGTTCTACTTACCTAAAACGACTACGCGACCGTGATCCCAAAATTACTCATGGCTAAGTGACCTCCTGTGATTTACCGTATTAGGCATGCCTGCACTATTTTAATTTGTGAAAAATATCCAAAAAAGTAGATCTGCTGCATATTATGCAGAGCCATCCGGTGATATAATGGCGATAATGGAAGAGAACCGCTCTCATCAATTCGATGTTTGATAGAGTAAAATATTTGAAAAAGTAGAATATTTGAAAGCTGCTAATGGTAATTGTCTGCCAATTTCCTAGACGAATCATTGTCATGATTATTAATTTCCAGACTAGATTTTTTCGATATCTTTGAAAAACAAAAAAATAGATCTCGAGTACAAATCTCGCTTGAGGATATATTCTTCTTTTAAGATTCACGTTGCTTACTTAATGGGCGTATGATAGAAATTGGAGAGTTGGGATAAAAAAAATAATATAATAAAAAATTTATAATAATCGAGAATGCATAATCTAAGATATTAAATCACTTCCATTATGCGCCATGTCCCTTCCAACCGCGGATGATAACGGATCTCCGCAACTTCCTGCGCTTTGTATCGCTAAGCAATGTTTCACTCATTACCACTTCTCTTTGTCTCCGCTCTGCTATATTCTTCCCGGACAACACAAGTTCGAGGGATTCCTCGATGTCTCCCTCTTGCCTTCGATATGTCTTGCGTGTGTTAAATTCTCTAAGTACTCTGGTCTTGTTATGTATCTGTTGTGGTACGATCCACCTAATTTACATAGTGGAGTACCGACCATATAAATATGGGTTGGTACCGGGAAGACGAGGGGAAGTAACAAGAGATCCAATCCAGAGACTCTGCCCGACTGCGATTAAGTCAACCCATTCTACAGGAACAGTCTTCCCAAGAATGTACCAAAACTAACTGTAAATATTGTGTACCTTTTCCTTGTTTCAATATATTTTGTTTACGTATATTTGGTGTTGTATTATTATCATTCCATGCTTATCCAAGTTTCAACATTATCCCAGCAATTTCAACTAAATTTTGTTTATTTTTCTGATTTTAAGTAAAAGGTGTTCCAATAACTTGGACCGATTTTAAATGTGAAGTAAGTTCAAGCGTTTAAGTCTTTGGCAATTTCAACGATGGAAAGATTAACAATTAACAATCAAACAACGTGTTAAATTTATCGAAGCCTATTACAAAAATGGACGTTCAAACAGAAATGCATTTCGGGAACTTCACATTTTTTTTTTTTTTTTGGTCAGCATCATCGACCAACCGAGAATTCTATTGGAAACGATGTAACGTTGTTGCGGAGAGGTTCAATTCAAGTATGACGAATAAAGTTGTCTGAATTTTCGGCCATATTTTCGTGCACTGCAACAGTGTTTTCAGCTGAACGACGTAAATGAGCACGCAATGGTGTTTTCACCGACCCAGTTTGTTTGAATTTACGAACAATTTTTCCAAATGCACACTTGAAAATTTAAAACGCTGTTTGATTGTTAATCTTTCCATGTTTGAATTAACCAAAGACTTAAGTTGTTAAATCTGAAAGAAAAAGTAAAAAATCATTAGACGCTTAAACTTAATCACATTTAAAATCGGTCCATGTTACTGAAACACCCTTTATAATTTTCATTTTATTTACCCTTTCATTTAAACTTCCTCGTTGCTCAGATGTTTAGTCCATGACATTCTCAGTGTACGTTTGCAGAATCCAAAATGTGGAGTACTGCTGCCAGACATATTGCCGGGGCCGCCCAATCCCTACTTCCCTGTTCGACCTAGTTCAAAAGTGTTTGATTGGCCATGTGAATGAAGAATTTGTTCTCCTCATTTCAATCCCTTTCCCAGGGTCCTGGATGTTGCTAGCCTCTTGCGGCCCTTGTCGCTATTTTCCTGGGAAGTACATATTTTAGTTCCACCAGTCCAGATATTCACAGTTAGGAACCGCCATACCATGTACACCGAGTGGGCATTTTCTTTCCATTGATATTCCATTGGTAAGGAATAAGTACCCAGAAACGTTACAACTTGAAATCTGACTCTCGAGAGTATTCACCTATAAAGAAGGACACGGGGTATACCCCTTTATTAAATATCACAATAGCAGAGGCCGGTAGACGTAATTCACACTGTTAAAAAAAAAAGGGTGTCTACTCAAATATAATAATCCATAAAACGAAGTAGTAGGAAATAATTCTGGATGAAGGATCCATATTATTTATAAATGTGTGTGTTTTTTTACATGATTGATTTTTTACTGCTTATCAACCCTTTTCGGGTTATTTAAAATCAAAAATCTTATAAGAATTTATTTGGAGATAATAATGATTTAGCGCTACAAGGCTAACTAATTAACCCATATCTGGGGAGAAGAGGTGAATTTATACCTTTTCTAAGGGTATTTGCGCGTAAGTAAATATAACGAACACAACGGGAATTAGAACTCGGCCCTCCGATTAACAATTCCGAGCCATTAGCCATTACACTGCTCATACATCCAAGCTTACAATACCTGGTATTCCCAAGCGGTCACCCACCTAGATACTGACCAGGCTCAACGTTGCTTAACTTCGGTGTTCTTGCAGAAATCGGTGTCTCAACGTCATGTGACTGTAAGTTCCCCCGCTCTCTCCCTCTCTCTCTCTGATATTTGTATGTGATCCAGTGCGTTTTTTGTTAGCAGTATTTACGCTTAAATATTTGGAAGAGGAACATAAAAATAAATATGGGATCCGCTTTGTGTGTTTGTCTCATTCAATGAAGTGTCCGTCAAAACAGCTTGATACAAGTTTTACATGATAGGTGACCTTCTAGCAAGGGGCGTTAGAGATCTGGGATTCACCCGGTATCATTGTATATCACTGGCGCCTGAGTTGTGCACGCGCCGAAAATGAACCGATTGGCAGATAGATATATCAACACTCAGTCCAAGACAGAATATCGCTCCAAATGTAGGGTCTAGTTTCGCAGAAATGTCCAGAGCCACAAATCCAACGGTGTTCAGAACTGAATAACCCGCAATGACACGTATGCGAGATTCAGTCATGTGTTTCTCGTAATCAGAACGTATTTGCAATCATAAATTCTGTAGTTCTCTCATTATATTACTTCTTGTATAAAATTTGCATATATAATACTTATACGTATGTCTATGTTATAATCTTTCAGTTTCCTTTCCACCAGGAGACGAAGAGCGTGTAAAAACTCATCCTAGTGAATAGTGTCCCAAGCGCTTTCGGCCAATTCATATTCATTTTCAAGGGATTCATTGTTAAAATGCTTGTCATCTAAATATGTATTCTAGGGGGAAAAGTAGGAAGTCTTTGTTTGAGAAAATATTTGGTTGTGATTCCATGTTGGCGTGTTTCTGAAAAACCAGAGACAGATTATTGGTTTGAGTTAGGCTTGAATCAATTCATGAACATAAGTTCTCCACGAAGTCCCTTAGATTTGTGTATCTGAGGGACTTCCTAAAATCTGAAGGTTTAAAAAAATCACTCTCCTTATCGCAAACATAATAGCCTCCTCGCAAAAAGAAATTAGCCGCGAAAGTTACGCAATAACCCCAATATCATCACCGGACGAGCTGCCAAGATTACAACCAAAACTACAATCTATCATAGACGATAGGTCCTAATTTAAAAAATTAACAAAAGTTATCAACGTATCACGCAACAACTACGTAAACAAACTTATCGTAGCTCAGCTTAAAATCGGAAATTACCAACCTGGAAGCCTTTGTGGAAGTGCAAAAACCAATAAACCATGTTTTCCTCCACGACCCATCATATCCCAAATGTTTATACTCGTCTATCAGCTAACAAAAATACTTCATATAATTTCCCTATACATACTCAGAAATTGCAACATCGCATCTTGAAGCGAATTGCACCAGATCCTTAATGCAACAAAATCTACATGTGGCACCCATCTTCATTCTACATTGAAAATCACTTAACCAACGTCCCAGTCGAGGAAACAAAGTGACTGCATTTACAAACACTCGTCAAACACTCCCCTCAAAATTAGACTACAAATTACTCTTTGCTTGCACAAATAAAGACCACTTCTATAACTATAAAGGAAACATTTACGCCGAGACCAATAATGGACAACACCTTTCTCTAACTTTTACATAGCACATTTTACATGTCGGAAACAAAGCGTTCAGAGCAATAGCGAGCAAACCACAAATCTACACAAGGGGTGCTACTATAGTATGATATATGCCGATGCATTTACGACTTATCGTAAATGGTCATGCACAATACCAAACAATCCACTTACGGCCTACTGCAATTAATTTCTCAAATTACTTACATTGGTATTTTAACCTAAAGAGTGGGGTATTTATCTAATTTGTATTCATAAAGGAGATATTTATGTAATTCTGTTACAAAATGAACAATCTAACGTTAGATAAAATAATTTCAATTGAAGATAAAGCGGTGTCCATTTTAAGATTAGGGTTAGGTTTGGGGTGGGGGGTTTTAACATATTTCCTAGATCCTACAGTATATACCATATCATAGTAGAAAAGGAATAGTAGATATATCATAGTAGAAAATGGATTGTAGATGGATCGTAAATGTGTGGTAGATGGATTGTAAGTGGACGGTAGATGGATTGTTGATGGATTGTAGATGAATGCCAAATAGATGGTAGATGGATTGCAAATTGATGGTGGGTGGATTGTAAATGGATGGTAGATGGATTGTAGATGGATTGTAAGTTTAGATGGATTGTTGATGGAAGATAAATGCCAAATAGATGGTAGATGGATTGCAAATTGATGGTGGGTGGATTGTAAATGGATGGTAGATGGTTAGATGGATTGGAAGTGGATGGTAGATGGATTGTTGATGGATTGTAGATGAATGCCAAATAGATGGTAGATGGATTGTTGATGGATTGTAGATGGAACGCCAAATGGATGGTAGATGATTGATTGATGGGATGGATTGAAATGGATGGTAGATGGATTGTGGATGGATTGTTGATGAATTGTAGATGAATGCCAGATGGATGGTAGAGGATTGTAAATTGATGGTGGGTGGATTATGTAAATGGATTGTAAATTGATTGTAGATGGATTGTATATTGTTGATGGATAGATGAATGCCAAATAGATAGTAAAGATATTGCAAATTGATGGTGGGTGGATTGTAAATGGATGGTAGATGGATTGTAATGGATTGGAAGTTGGTCATGGATTGTTGATGGATTGTAGATGAATGCCAAATAGATGGTAGAGGGATTGCAAATTGATGGTGGTGGATTGTAAATGGATGGTAGATGGATTGTAGATGGATTGTAAGATGGATGGATTGTTGATGAATGATTGGTAGATGGACTGCAAATGCCAAATAGATGGTAGATGGATTGCAAATTGATGGTGGGATGGATTGTAAATGGATGGTAGATGAAAATTGATAGATGGATTGGGATTGGATGGATGGTAGATGGATTGTTGATGGATTGTAGATGAATGCCAAATAGATGGTAGATGGATTGCAAATTGATGGTGGGTGGATTGTAAATGGATGGTAGATGGATTGTAGATGGATTGGAAGTGGATGGTAGATGGATTGTTGATGGATTGTAGATGAATGCCAAATAGATGGTAGATGGATTGCAAATTGATGGTGGGTGGATTGTAAATGGATGGTAGATGGATTGTAAGTGGATGGTAGATGGATTGTTGATGGATTGTAGATGAATGCCAAATAGATGGTAGATGGATTGGGTGATGGATGGTATTGTAAATGGATGGATGGTGGGTGGATTGTGATGGTAGATGGATGAAGTGGATGGTAGATGGATTGTTGATGGAAGATGAAATAGATGGTATGATGGTGGGATTGTTGGTGATGGATGGATGGATGGTATTGGTGGATTGTAGATGAATGAAATGGAGATGGATTGATGGTAGATGGATGATGGATTGTAGATGAATGCCAAATTGATGGATGGGATAGATTGACAAAATGGATTGATGGATTGTTGATGGAAGATGAATGCCAAATAGATGGTAGATGGATTGGATGGAGATGGATTGGGATGGTAGATGGATTGTGGATTGGATAGATGAATGGATGGTAGATGGATTGTAAATGGATGGATGTAGATGGATGGAAGTGGATGGTAGATGGATTGTTGATGGATTGTAATGAATGCCAAATAGATGGTAGATGGATTGCAAATTGATGGTGGGTGGATTGTAGATGGTAGATGGTTTGCAAATGGATTGGTAGATGGATTGTAGATGGATTGATATTGGATTGGAGTGGATGGTAGATTGATTGTTGATGGATTGTAGATGAATGCCAAATAGATGGTAGAGGGGTGGGTGGATTGTAAATGGATGGTAGATGGATTGTAAATGGATGGTAGATGGATTGTAGATGGATGGTTGGATTGTGGAATTGATGGTGGGTGGATGGTAGATGGATTGTTGAATGGTAGATGGATTGTATTGATGAATGCCAAATAGATGGTAGATGGATTGCAAATTGATGGTGGGTCGATTGGGATTGGATGGATTGTGATGGATTGGATTGGAAATGGATGGTGGATTGGAATGGTAGATGGATTGTTGATGGTTGTTGAATTTTAAATAGATGGTAGATGGATTGTATTGATGGTGGATGGTGATGATTGTAAATGGATGGTAGATGGATTTGAAAATGGATGGTATGGATTGATGGATTGGATGGATTGTTGATGGATTGTAGATGCAAATAGATGGTAGATGGATTGGATGGTGGGTGGATTGTAAATGGAAATGGATTGTAGATGGATTGAAGTGGATGGTAGATGGATTGTTGAAATGGCAAATATTTTATGGTAATGGATTGTAAAATGATGGTGATGGATGGATTAGATGGATTGTAATGTGGTAGATGGATTGTCTTGGATGAATGCCAAATAGATGGATTGATTGATGGTGGGTGGATTGTAGGATGGTAGATGGATTGTAGATGGATTAGAGTTGTAGATGAATGCCAAATAGATGGTAGATTTTGCAAATTGATGGTGGGTGGAAAGATGGATTGATGGATTGGATGGATGGTAGATTGATTGTTGATGGATTGTAGATGAACGCCAAATAGATGGTAAACAAATGAGGGATTGTAGATGGATTGGGATGGTGATGGATTGTTGATGGATTGTAGATGAATGCCAAATAGATGGTAGATGGATTGCAAATTGATGGATGGATGGTAGAGATGGATTGAATCAGTGGATGGTGGACAGTTGTTGATGGAGCGTAGATGAACGCCCAAATTGATGGTAGATGGATTGTAGATGTTGAAATGGTTCAGTGGTTGGATGGTACGTGGTTGGATTGTGGAAAAATGATTGGTTCAAAGCCAAATGTTTTTTGATGGTTTCTGTAAAATTTTGATGGTCAGTGGAAAATTTTGAAGATGGATTGTTGATGGATTGGCAATGGTAAAAATAGATGGTAGAGGGATTGCAATTGATTGGGGGGATTAAAATTTAAGGGTTTGTGGATGGATTGAAATAGATAAAAATGTAGTCTAATATGGTAGATTTATAAATGTATATGAATGTTAACCCTTTAAGTGGAATGGATA